TTTCAGTTCAGGTGACATGATCACATGTCACTGCAAGACTTCATTGCCCACTTGCCAGCACACACATATACAGGAAGACTAACAGGTAAACACAGCCATCTGCAGACAATGGTCCTGGTTAACGGGAGTCATCAAGATTCCAAACCATCATTAATGGCCCACACTTTACATAATTACAATAGGCCCTCAGAGTTATCTTTTATATTTCTAGTTTTAGATACAAGAGTGCTACATTTCTACAAATAGGATGATCACACTCAGTAGATTATGAGCTTTGTAATGATACCTTACAAGAGACCTTTTGCACGAAGCATATCCCAGTTGCATTATATTCACTTATTATCAAATCTTTATAAAACTATCCCAGTTACATTATATTCACTTATTATCATGTTTTTATAAAACCATATAGACTACACAACGTCACACCAACGACATCACTGCAACTTACTTCCAGGGCAGTTAAACCTATGCATGAATGCCAGAATGCAAAAGGTTACAAAAGGCAATATCATACCAAAAGATATGATCTTGAATACATATGCCTTACATAGATTAGAGTCATTATTTTCAATGGGAGCTGGTGACATATGAAAGTGGATAGGCAAAATGGAAATATAATAGGTGCACTCAAAGCCAGATCACAGCATTTGATAAAGCTCTATTTGTCTCAGAGTCCAAACTATGTAAGGAATGGCTATTGATTGCTATAACTAATGGTTCCCAGCTATGTCATCACTTCCTTTGACTCTTTACTATTGTATCTGTTTTATGAAGCTTTAAGTGTAGAATATTTAATTTGTCTGTTGAGTGCCCCCTTTGTCAGGGGAGGGGGATTCATTATAAAAGAAATGTTTTGGAACAGCATCTTATCACAGGAGGGTTGCAGTTGCCAGATAACGTGAGTCCAGAGTACATAATATAAAGCTACAAATGCAATTGGTTCATGGTAGTGAAATGGATATGGATGAGAGGACAATCAGGGTCCAGACACCCCAGGGGGAAAAACAGGCAGTTGAATTAACTGATTACAATACAATAATATTGTACTACAAATGTGTATTGAGTAAGGTCTTTTATGAAAACTGATGAAACGCTAGTCATGCATATTTTGCTGGGGTACGTACAGTATATAAACGGTTATGTATGTATGCTGCAAATATGTTTCTAAAATATGTTGTGAAGAGAGTTGATAAACAAGCCTGCCTTAGGCAAAGGAATGTGGATGCATTTGTCGGGGTCAAGCTTTGTAAGCCAGAGGACAATGAAAATACATTCACATATAAGGTAACAAAGCAATCAAGCTAACTAGTGGCAGCTTGGTGATCACACCAGGGGACAAACCGAAGTCTGAATCTCTGGGAGGAGGTCTTCCTGGCTCTTGAGGCAAAGGCAATGGACTTTGGGAAATATAAGGGGAACGAAAATACATTCTGATAATCCATCACTTAGGGAACAAAGGGGACAGCACCCTCTGAGTTTGTGAAAGTTGGATCTTTTATCCTGGAGGGCTAGAGATGCTGGTATCCTGATGTAAGTGAAAAAACTGCTTAGGCAAAGATTTATTATTATTAACTTGCTTAGATTAAGTTTTAGTCACTAGAAAGCATATTATGTTTTGTTTTGTTTGTAACCATACCCCTCTTTTTCTCTTGGTTAGTATCACTTAAATCTCTTTTCTTTATTAATAAACTTATTCCTAGTTTACTATGTACCATCTCAATGCTGCTATATTGAAGAATAGAGTGAGTTCTCAGCTAAACTGGCAGACTGGTGTGTGCTCTGTCTTACTCTGAAGGCAGTAAACTTAATTTCTGAGAGCGTCTAGTGAGAGAGCCTGTATGCTGCAGTCAGACATCTCTGGGAAACTCTCTAAGGAACTCGGGTTCACTGACTGTTACCTGCAAGGCAAGGTTTAGACTGGGAGAGTCTCGAGCAGTTTGCTGGCAATGAAGAGAGACTAGTGTGTCAGGGAGATGACACACAGTCAAGCCCTAGCAAAGCTCTCCCTTGATCAGGGCCGGCTCCAGGCACCAGCTGAGCAAGCTGATGCTTGGGGCGGCAGATTGTTCGAGGCGGCATTCTGTCCAATCCTAGGGTGGCACAGCCGCTTTTTTTGTTCCGCTCCGGCCGCCCTGTAGGGGGCGGCAGCGCAGAGGACTGGAGCGCCCTGCAGCAAGCCCAGCAGGGCAGTCCTCGTCCTTCCCTCCCCGCCGACCGGAGCGGAGCCCTCCTGGCAGGCAGCAGGAGGCGGTGCGGCGGGAGGAGCTGCGTGGCTGCCCCCCTTCCTCTCTCTCTCTCCCGCCCGCTCCCTCCCCCTCCTCCCCGCTAGCCGGTCCCCCTGCACCCGAGCTCCGGCCGCGCCACAGGTTTTTTTTGTTTGTTTTTGGTTTTTTTTGCTTGGGGCGGCCAAAAAGCCAGAGCCGGCCCTGCCCTTGATGAGGCAGAGGGGTAACACAGTGGCTTACAGTTCTTGGTGTTCTGAGAAGAGTGTCACAATGAGTTAAAGATTATAAGCAGAAATACCACTTTAATACAAAGAATGGCCATCAGAGATTTCTCACAGGCTGGTCGCAACAGTGGAAGTCAGTGATTCACTTTTGCATTTTATGGCTTTTATTGCCCTAAGAAAATTATTCATATTTCACCACTTAAAGTGAAATCAGACAAGCATAGATGGTAGAAACTAAAATGGGAAAATATACTCTGGCTCAATATCTTTTCTATATGTTTCATTAAGGTAAATTATTTAGCAACTTAATTTCTCTTATGGTTCATAGTTACAAAGCAACCTGGGAAGCAAAAGCACTGATCAGCCAGTAAGGTTCAAGAAAAAGCAGGATGGAAAAAAGTTAAAATGAAAAATGTACATATTCTCTCATACCTTTGAAATTTCCGTGTTGTAAATGTCCACCTTTTCTTCCTGGGTTGACGATTTCACAGTTATATTGAGATGTCTTAAAGGAAAGAAAATTCAGTCTGCTCTGTATTTATCAGAAAGTTTTTTTCCCTCCTTCTTTGAAAATAAGATCTTCTACCATGTTTGACTGGCTGAATGGACTCTAGTTACTGTAAGAGAGATGCAGATGTTTAAACATCCAAGACCTGCCTGTGGTGATATCACACAACAGGAAATTTAATTCGATAGTAAAAGCTCTACTGGGGGAGGTGGAAAATGACTATTATTCATCCAGGTTGTCATTTACACAGAACATGCAGTAAATATAGACTTGAAATAAATACATGGATGATTATTGCTACATAGGGGAATGAATCATTTTGATTTGTGTAGAAATGGCACAATTTCTTGAACATTCTTTTAGATCCCAATATGAAACCAAGTTTTCAGTGAATTCTTCTGAATTCTGATTCTCAATAAAACAATATACAGAAAAAACATAGTATGCCTATGCATCCTCCCCACTCTCTACTCACTGTAATATCCTTTTAGGGTTTCTCTAGATTTGGAAGAGAGGTTGATTTTAAATTGGGATTAGTCAACAACCTGATCAACGCATACCCTTACAGAACTTAGTGTGTCCTTACCTCTGTAGACAATGCCTTCACTTAACAATGATTTCAGATTTTAATAGGGCAGCAGTTGAAGAAAAGATAAGACACGGGGGGGGGGTGTCAGGGAGAATAGAAATGTCCAGATAGGAGCAGCGGAAGCTCTCTAAAAGTGGGGGGCCACAGGCACCCAAACCATGGCCTCGTCCCCTGCACCACCCCACCCCTTCCGAGGCCCTGTCCTCACACCGCCCCTTTTCCCCGAGGCCCCGCCCTCATGCTTCCCCTTCCCCCCTAGGCCCCTGCTCCCACACTGCCTCTTCCCCCAAAGCCCCGCTCCCACGCCGGCTCTTTCCCCCAAGACCCTGACCCCTGCTCACTCCTCTCCACCCTTTCCCCCCGTTACTCACCCTTACGGCAAGTAAAAAGTGGGGGGGGCATAGCCCCCTAGCTGCCCTTGTTCTGATGCCCTGTGTCCAGACACAAAAATTACTCATGGGATGGAGACATACAGGGTGACTCATGGGACAAGCTGATAACCCATGGCTTATTCACGGGTGCACTACTAGCTAATAAATCATAATTCTACAACTTTTGCCCTTATGCTGAACTTTACCTATCTATTAGTTACAGCTAATCTCTCTCAATGATATACTACTGTTATCTTGGGTTTCTTCTGTTAAGGTCCTCTTGGCCATAAGGAGTATGTACATTAAGGTGAGGTGGTAATAAAGAAGATTATAATGGAGCTCAAGGGAGTTTTGCCTCCCCCATCTACAGAACAACAATTTTCCTAAACTCAGTTACAGTTCAACATAGATATATAAAAAACATGCTTTGGACCAAGTATTAATTATTATTATTAATTATTTGTATTACCATACCGCCTAACAGCCTTAGTCATGGAGCAGGAACTGACTGTGCTAGGCGCTGTACAAACACAGAACAAAACAACCTTCCCTGTCCCAAGGGATTTACAATCTAAGAATAAGACAAGAGATAAAAGTTGGATATAGACAGACAGGGAAGTACAAGGAAACAATACTGGTCAGGATGATAAGCAGTGGTCTTAGCATACCAGCAACCTAACTGTTGCCAAGTTTGTATTTGTATGTGTCACAGCAAAGGAGAGTTTTGAGGAGGAGGGATTTGATGATTGTAGAATATCAAGGTTGGAAGGGACCTCAGGAGGCCATCTAGTCCAACCCCCTACTCAAAGCAGGGGCCAATCCCCAGACAGATTTTTACCCCAGTACCCTAAATGGCCCCATCAAGGATTGAACTCACAACCCAGGGTTTAGGAGGCCAATGCTCAAATCACTGAGCTATCCCTCATACATGCTGCACTCAGTGCAATAAACTGGATAGCCCCCACTCTGCTGTGGGGCTTCTGCCTGCATTGTCTCCTGCAGCTACCTAGTTAATGAAGGAGTTTTGTTTAAATCAAGAAGTTTTGAATGTAGTTTAGTTTACAGGTTTTAAAGAACAGCAAGTGAACCTTGCCCCCTTCCCACTCCCCTTGCAAAACTCCCTGTTAGCAGCCCCTGGTCGCTTGTGCACTGCTTTATAAAGCCCTGGCCTTCTTGATAGCCCCGCCCACTGACTAAGGCTCAGCCAATTAACAGAGGCTTCTAGCTTTCCAACCTTACTTTGAAGCTCACAACTTCCAACTGCCAGCCACAGCACACGGTCCTTCAAACAACCAACCAAACAGACAGACAAACACAAGCTCAACACACAGCAAGTAACCCCCAAGCACAAACACACACTACAGACAGCCACTTACCCCAAGGGTGCTGTATTTGCTCCTCCTTCACCTGGAGAACTCCCTTGCAAAACTCTCTGTTAACAGCCCCTGGTCGCTGGATGGATAATGAGGTAGTTTTGGGGGTGTTTACAAGAGTGTGGGGCATCCTGGGATAAAGCACTGAGGTGCTTGTTTGAAAATTTAACAAGTGGGCAGTAGAGTATTATGGCCCAATCAGAGGCAAGCATTGGCCGCTTGATAGCAAATGAGAGATGATAGGTAGCATGGGAATTGACTGTGAAGGAACTTGAAACTAAATACAAGCAGCTTATGTATGATGCACTAGAGAAGGGGGAGCCAGTGGAGGGATTCAAAGAGAGGAGTGATAGGGTCATAGCAACAGGCTAGGAAAAAACAGTTACTAACCTTTTCCATAACTGTTGTTCTTCAAGAAGTGTTGTGCATAGACTCGTAGACTTTAAGGCCACAAGGGACTATCATGATCATTTAGTCTGATATCCTGCACATTGCAGGACACAGATCTACTCAACCACTTCTGCATTAGGCCCATAACCTCTAGCTGAGTTAATGAAGTCCTCAAATCTTAATTTGAAGACTTCAAGTTACAGAGAATCCACCATTTGCTCCTGTACAAACCAGCAAGTGACCTGGGCTCCATGTTGCAGAGGAAGGTGAAAAAGTCCCAGTGTCTCTGCCAATCTGCAATCCTTCCCACCTCTAAACATGGTGATCAGTTAGACTCTGAGCATGTGGGCGAGACCCCCCAGCCAGACACCTGGAAAATAATTCTCTGTAGTAACTCAGAGTCTTACCTATCTAGTGTCCCATCTCTGGACATTGGGGATATTTGCTAATAGCAGTCATGGATGGGCCATATGCTATTGTAGGCAGTCTCATCATACCATCCTCTCAATAAACTTATCAAGCTCAGTCTCAAAACTTATTAGGATTTTTGCCCCCACAACTCCCCTTCAAAGGCTGTTCTAGAACTTCATTTCTCTGATGGTTAGAAACCACCATTTAATTTCAAGCCTAAATTTGCTGGTGGCCAGTTTATATCCATTTGTTCTTGTCCATTCCACCCTTGGTGTCTGTATTCCCAGCACACAGTTGTTATAAACCTTTTCTCTCAGCGGTACCCATTGGCTGCCTCGAGTGCCCTCTGTGGCCACGTGCCACTGTGTGCAGGTATAAAGGACAAAGCTGCCCCCAGTCCCCTTCAGTTCCTTCTTGCCAGAACTCTAGTGCAGAGGGATAGCAGGGTGGGTCATGAAATGGACATGTGCAACACAGCTCAAAAAATAACAATTACAGAACAGTTCAGTAACCGTTTATCTTCTTTGAGTGGTTGCACATGTGCAGTCCACTCCTGGTGACTCACAAGCCATGAATCAGGAGGTCAGATCAGAGTCTATCTAAATAAAGACTGGAGGACAATTCATTCAACTCTAGCATTGTCTCTTGAGTCCTGAGTGACAGCTTAATGAGAAGCAAACATGTAGACAGAGGACATTGCAACATGTGCCAGAAAAGGCACAGAGGCTGACTGCAATCTCATCAAATGAACTGTGAGTCTGCTGGGTGGCATGACATTAGCCAGGTCATAGGATATGCATATACTTGAAGCTATCCAAGAAGAAATTATCTGAGTAGAGACTGATTGTCCTTTCATTCTATCTGCAACTGCTACAAAGAGTTGAGAGGACTTATGGAACTGCTTCTGTCAAGGTAGAACACCAGTGCTCTTTATGACGTCCAGAGTGTGCAAACATTCCTCTTCCCAGCTCAAATGTGGTTTTGGGAAGAATACAGGTGAGTAAACTGGCTGGTTGATATGGAAAGAGGACACTGCCTTTGGGATAAGCCTCGGCTGAGGGTGCAGGTAAACTTTAACATGTGCAGCTTTGCCATCACCTCTGTCAGAAAGGTGGGAACCAAAAATGCCACCTTCCTTGATAGATGTAGCAGACAGCAAGTAGCCAAAGGCTCAAACGGCAGGAACCATAAGCTTGACAACACTAAGTTTAGGTCCCATGGGAGAACAGGGTCATGTACCTAATGATACAATTTGACTAAGCCTTTCAAAAAACCTTACTGGTATGTTGTTAGAAAAAACAGGCTGATTATCCTTCTGAAGGATAGCTGAAATAGCTGCTAGCTGTACCTTGATAGAATTAACAGTTAATCCTTGATGTTTCAATGGTAAGTAATTTAGTATGGGGCTGAATTGAAGAACAGGACAGTGAGACTCCAGAATAGCATGACCAGATGGAAAAACGTCTCCACTTAGAGAGGTAAGTAACCCTACTAGCTTTCTACTATTTAGCAGAACATCTTGAATCTCTTTTGAGCAAGACTGCTCCTTAGTGTCTAGCCATGGAGCATCCATACATTAAATGAAGAATGTGCAGGCTTGGGTGGAATAGACAACCATGATTTTGGGATATTAGATCCGAGCCCAGTAAAAGTGAAATTGGAGGTTTCATGGATCATGCCAGGAGAGTGGCAAACCAGTGTTGACAGGCCCACGCTGGGGCTATGAGTATGACTCTGGCCTGGTCTCCTCTTATCTTCAGTAATACCTTGTGAATGAGTGGAATTGGCAAGAAAGCATACCTTTGAGCAGGGAGTTGGACTAGATGATCTCCTGAGGTCCCTTCCAACCCAGATATTCTATAATTCTAGGAGCCTGCCTGACCATGGTAATAAGAATGCATCTATCAGGGAACCCGGTCTGTGACCCCATAGGGAACAGAACTGCTGACACTTTTTGTTGATCCTTGATGCAAGTAGTCTACCTGGGGAGATCCCCCATCACTCAAAGATGTATCTGGCCACATCCAAGCAAAAAGACCACTTGTGGTGACTCATAAATGATCTGCTCAGGTGGTCTGCAAGATTGTTTTGGAACACCAATAGGTAAGAAGCTTCTAGATCTATTGAGCTGGCAATGCAGAACTCCCAAAGCAGAGATGCCTCTTGACAGAGCAGAACAGGGTGGGCTCCTCCCTGCTTGTTGAAGTACAACATTGCCACTCTGTTGTCTGTGAGGACTAACAGGCTGCTTCCCTTGATCTGTGGCAGAAATGCCTAGCATGCCAACCTCACAGCTTTCAGCTCCCTGATGTAGATTTGTTAAACTAAGTCCTCTGCAGACCATAGTCCCTGAGTCTGTAGAGAACTCAGATGGGCCCCCAGCCCAGGGCAGAAGTGTCAGTCACTAAAGTGAGCATTGGTTGTGGGTGGACAAAGGGAACACTGATGGGACTTGGCCAGCAATCTAGGGAGGCAGGACATGAGAGAGCACCCTCACCACTCAACTAGATGGTGATGGTTTGGTGAGTAAACTGAGGCTAGCCAATCCTGTAGCATTCTGAGGTGCAGACTGGCATATTGGACCATATGTGTGCACAAGACCGTATGCCCCAGCACCCTCAAACAGTTTCATGCTGTCATGACTGGGTGAGCTTTGAGAGCTATAACAATTAATTGAATTGCCTGAAACCTTGAGTCTGACTTGAATCGAGTCTGTTACTGGCCCCTATAAACTCTGTTCTTTGATCTGAGGGGAGGAGAGGTTTCTCTGCATTGACTAGTTGTCCCAGAACAATGAATGTTGATTGGATCAGAGATACAGTGAACAACACCTGCACCCTGACTTGGTCCCTCACAAGTCATCCAGGTAGAGCTAAACTTGCTCTCCTGATCTTCTGAGGAAGTCAGCTACCACTAACTTTCATAGAAACTCTGGGAGCTGCTGACAGGCCAAATAGTAGCACGGTGAACTGATAATGATTTTAATTTACCAGAAATCTGTGGTACTTCCTTGGCCCTGTCAATACTGGTTCTCCACTTGCAAAGTAACTCCCTGCTCTTCATGTGTCAGTATATAATGCCTGCATCTGTAACTTTCACTCTATGCATCTGAAGAAGTGAGGTTTTTACCCACGAAAGCTTATGCCCAAATAAATCTGTTAGTCTTTAAGGTGCCACCAGACTCCTTGTTGTTTTTGTGGTACTTTCTGTGAGCATCTTTTAAGTCAATGGCAGCTTACCAGTCTCCAGGAAGGGGATAATATAAGCTAGGGTGACCATGCAAAACTCTCTCTTTTAAGAATTTGTTGAGTTGACTCCAGTCTAAAACTGGTTTCAGACCCCCTTTTGCAGAATTAGGAAACAGCAGGAATAAAACCTTGTCCCTCTATAACACTGTGGAATCTCCTCTATGGCACCTGCCTGAAGGAAAGATTGTACCTCCTGGAAAAGGAGAGTGGTCTCTGGAGGTGCAGGGAGGAAGGGTAGGAGGAGTAGAAACAAATTGGAGGATATATCCCACCTCCACAGTGCTCAAGACCCATGGATCTGAAGTAATTTGGGGACATGCACTGTTGAAGTGGGAAAAACTGTTTGCAAATATGGGGGAGATAGGGTTTGGAAACATGGAGACTGGCATGGTGTCCTTGACTGGCCCATCAAAATGATTGCTTAGCACTTCTCGTGTGTCTAGAAGGCCCAGGAGCTGGAGCTGATGCAGAAGGATGGGTAGGCCTGCACCTAAAACCCCTGCTCTTCTTTTTTGACAGGTCCTGATGAGGAGGGCACAGTGGAATCACAATGTATCTGCTGAGGCTGATAGTGCTTTCTGACCTGGGCAGGTGTGTACAGAATCCAGAATTTTGAGGTCACCCATGAGTCCTTAAGGCCAAGGAAAATGCTGTCTCTCTGCTCTGAGAACAGAGAAGGACCCTCAAAAGTCAAGTCCTGCGTAGTAATCTGGACTGCATAGGGTAGACCAGAAGACTGCAGCTGTGAGGATCTATGTGTGGAGACCGCAAAAGCCAGGGTCCTGGCAGCCAAGTTGGCAGCATCCAGCCCCCCCTGCAGCGAAGTCCTCACCACTAATCTGCCCTCGTTCACCAGTGAACAGAACTGCTGCCTCACGTTCTCAGGGAGCAGATCTTTGAATTTCTCTAGGGATCCCCCAAAATTAAAATCATAATGCCCCAGTAGAGTCTGGTGGTTGGCAATTCTAAGCCGCAATCCCCCAGTTGAATAAACTTTTCTACCAAATAAATCCAGTTCTTTTGCCTCTTTTGATTTGGGGGTCGCAGCATGATGCCTCCGGCGCACCCTCTCGTTAGCTACTGCAACCACTAGTGACCCTGGAGGACCTCAGGCGATGAGAGGAGTCCCTGACCTCCTTGACCTGAATGCCCAAGTCCAAAAAGTCACTCTCTTTAACAATTCCTGATAAATCTTGTAGTTGTCAGGAGGGGGTGATCTTGTCTCAGAGGAAACCACCTTGTCCAGAGAGGACAAAGATGAAGATAAAACTGGTTGTGGTTGAACCTCTCCTGCAGAAGGCTTCTTCCTGATGCTCAGCTCTGGGACCAGTACCAGACACTGGAGTCAGGGCAGCTTGATGCAAGGACTCACCCCATCTGGACTAGGGCACTTTGTAGGAATGACAAGGGGAAGATCTAGAAGCTGGGGGAAACCCTTTGTGGTTCCAAAAGAGCCACTGATAAGGGGCCAGACCCCAGTGACCTCGTGGCCACATTCCGCTCGGAGATCCCATTGTGTAGTTGCGAGGGTACCTGGAGAGGAAAGATCTAGGTGTGGAGTCACAGGTCCTATTCAGAGGTTGAGACACATATGATCCCATCTCAAAATCCAATGAAGACGACTCCCTTTCTGCCAATCACGGGTATAAACTGCTGGGGACCAGTTCTGAGAGCCTAATGATGGCTGGAGACACACCATCATTGCTGTTTTTCTCTTAGACAGTACCAATGGGCAGACTGTTCGGGAAGTAGGCAGCTGGTGCAGTATTGAGTGCTGCATTGCAAGTGTTGGCAGGGGCAGCTCCAGGCACCAGCGCACCAAGCACGTGCTGGAGTGGCAAGCCGTGGGGGCGGCCTGCCGGTCGCTGTGAGGGCGGCAGTCAGGCTGCATTCGGCGGCATGCCTGCAGGAGGTCCACCAGTCCTGCGGCTTTGGCGGCAATTCAGCAGCGGGTATGCCGAAGGCGCGGGACCGGCGGACCTCCCGCCGGCATGCCGCCGAATCCGTGTTACCAGCGGACCTCCTGCAGGCATGCCGCTGAAAACTGCCTGACTGCCGTGCTTGGGGCGGCAAAATACATAGAGCCGCCCCTGAGTGTTGGTGTTGACAGTACCAAGGGAGCCAATTCCTGTACAATTAGCAATACTGGCACTGACAAACAGAGTAAATTCCTTGCCACTATAAACACTTCTGGCATAGTTGCACGAAAATTATATCTCATTGATGCAGAGCCACTGACATTGACAGTTCCATTTCTGGAACCAGACTCAATGATGCCTGTTTTGGCACCAGAGTCAATGGTGCTGTCTTAGACACTAATTTGGAGGAGTGCCTCGATTTCGGTTACACTCTACTTGACTCCCCTTTCCCACCTTTCCTGACTTTTGGGGTGGAGATCTTCCTCTTGTTGGTGCCTTTGTAGAAGGCTTATGCTACTTCCTCAGCACAGGCGAGGGTAACCAGAGCTGGGACTCCTAACAGTCTTCAAGCCATGCTTCTGATTGAAACTGCAGCACTCGGCCCCAACTCGGACCAGGACAATTCTGAGGGTGCTCTCAGTACTGCTTCCGTTAGCAGGAACTTCAGCCTAGCCTCCCTATCTTTTTTCATCCTGGGCTTGAAGTCCCAACAAATCTGGCACTGGTCCTTCATGTGTGCCGTGCCTAGGCACTTAAAATAACTGCCATGTGGGTGGCTCACAGGCATAGGGTTTGAGTAGGAAGCACATGGTTTGAAGACCAGTGATCGAGGCATGCCTTAGAATGGGCAACAGAACCCCAAAATAGGAAAAAACAAACAAGTTTTGATTTTACATACTAAAGCTAACTAGCCTACAACTAGACTGTGTACATAAAGGCTGAGAGAAAACTGCTCTAGCAATTGACAGAGGTTCCAGTGACTGTCCTGGGCAGTAAGAAGGAACAGAGGGGGTCTGGGCCAGCTCTGTGCTTTATACCTTCATGCATTGGTGCAGGGCAGCAGGGGGCACTCAAGCCATCCAACGGGTACTGCCGAGGGAAAAAGTTTCCGTCAGTTGTGTGCTGGGCGCACAGATTCCCAGAATGGAATGCACATGTGCAGTCACTCATAGATGAGAATGATCTTTGCAGCAGCATTCTGAGTGGGCACAACTGCATGTATGAAGGCCACTCAGAAGGATGTTGCAGTAATTCAGATTATTATTATTTTTACTCTCCTACCCCAAATGACTATCACATTCCTGTAGAGTCCAATTCTTTCAGCATTTCTTGTTGCTCTGGCCTTTAATCCTTCACCTTCACTGTCCCAGCCAGAAAAAGCTCTTGAAATAGTTAGGACCTCATGGGGAAACTAGTATGTAGGGTCTGATTGTGCAACCCATATTCATGTTGAGTAGTACCTTAGTAACTCATCCCATTTTCTTCCATGAGACGTCTCACAGCATAAGATATTACTCAACATGCATAATTTGGAAGAATCTGACCCTTCAGAGGGATTTTTTTCAGTTTCGTATAGAGCCTAAATTAACTAATAGAATTATTCTTTTTGTTGTTTTTAGAGAGATTAATTTCACAACCATTAGCAAATCACACAGTTGAAATTCTGATCTGGCTATAATGAATGCACACACTAAACCTGCATAGATAATGCATCTTTGACTGCCTCACCTAGACTCTACCTACTAATCAGGTTCTCACATCACATGTTCTAAGATTTCAAACTATTGAGCATCTTCAAACACCCCCAGCAATCACTCAGAGAAAGTAGTGTTATTTTTGTCATGAAAGAGAGCAGATATTACTCTAAATACACACAAAGCATTTTCCCAAGTGGAATCTCCTTTTGTCACTGCCTGCCTATGTTTCTAAACTTTTCCCAGGATATTAGGTATTATTCCTATCTTCACTGGACATCTGTTTCTCTCTCTCTCTCTTTGTTCAGACCATGTCATTCCTTTCTAGGAGTCCCTTTCCTGACTTCTTCCATATTAAGTTCAAGCTCCTTATTATCAAGGCTTCACACAGCTCCACTTCAGCTTACACATCAGATCTTGGATCCTTCTAGCTTTATTCTTGTGTTGTATGCTCCATCTGCTTGTCTCACCAGTCTGCTCCATTAATATCCTCCTTGTGCTCATGACTTTGTGCCTTTTCCACATTGCACTCTATGCTTGGAATAAACTAAACCTGTCCTTTTCATCAAGTGCCATCCTCCCTCTCCCTTCCAACTAATTTCTTTCAGCTTCTGATCATTACTTGTTACAACATTCTACTTCTTCTCTTACCCATAAGTATATTAAAGGGAGGCGGGGGGCGGGGAATTGCAAAGCAACTATGGTATCCCTAGCCTCTCTTTGCCAGAAGCTGGGAGTGGGTGACAGAGGATGGATCACTTGATGATAACCTGTTCTGTGCATTCCCTCTGGGGCACCTGGCATTGGCCACTGTCAGAAGACAGGATACTGGGCTAGATGGACCTTTGGTCTGACCCAGTATGGCCATTCTTATGTTCTCTTCATCCACAATTTACCTGTAAGAAGAAAAGCTTCAAAACCCAGCTCTACATGTAAACAGTGTTACCAACAAAAGCAGTTTTTCTCTCCCTCTTGGTTTTCTGTTGTCTCTCTCCTCCTCATTGTCTGTCAAATATCCACTTGATTTAGACTGTAAGATCTTTGGGTCAGGGACCTCGCCTTGTTACTTATCTGTAATCACCACCCCACGTATGTTGCTTACCACATAGTTTTCAGGGTAAAATTAAAAAAAAGTAGTGTGTGTGTGTGTGTGTGTGTGTGGCCTGTGCGTATGTTTGAAGTAACTTCCATTTAGTATAATCTGCAAGTTTGATTAACATGTCTCTCCCCCACTAGATGCATCCCACAAACATGATACACCTCTACCCCGATATAATGCGACCCAATATAACACGAATTTGGATATAACGTGGTAAAGCAGCACTCCAGGGGGGCGTGGCTGCGTGCTCCGGCAGATCAAAGCAAGTTCAATATAATGCAGTTTCACCTATAACATGGTAAGATTTTTTTGGCTCCCGAGGACAGTGTTATATCAGGGTAAAGGTATACAATGCCATTTACCTTTCGTTGGTGGTTATTTAACCAGTGTTCGTTCTGTGTGTCAGTGGAACCATACATATCCTGTCCTTACATGGGCCACATCACCATGCCATGTGTGTGTCCTTGTGCTGGTGAATGTTATTGTAACAATATAAAAGGCAGTAGCCAGCCTGGCATGATAGAATGATAAGTTACTGAAGCAAGTTTTACAGTATGTACTAATAAAAAGTAAGTTGTTGCCTCATTCTGAATCATACTTCATTGCATATTTAGCAAAGCAGGCTGCTGAATCTGATTCATCATTCTCAATATTTTGTATTGAGTAAACTTAAGCAGAAGAAATGCTCTTTCCTAGTCCTTGTACTCTACAAAGTGTAATTAAAGTGCCTTTGGATAATATACAAAAGCAATATCCAACTGTTTTATCAGCAAGTTTTATGGTAAGATTTATAAAAAACTGAACTTTAAATTTAAAAATAATAGGCAGGTGAAGGAGAGATCAAGTTTTTTAATCCTCTCTTTTTAGAATGAATATATATTGCCCTGATCCTGGAAGGTGTTGAGTGACCTCAACTCCTATTGACCATCTTTGAATGTGTTGCGTATCTGAGTTAATGACTCGAGATTGTCAAAATAACAGGCTCAATTGAAATTATTTAATCTAAGATTATTAATCAGAGACCAGGACAGCACCATACAGAATATAGAAATAGTCTCACAACAAAGGGTGGTAATGTATCTAAGAGCTGGATATGTGCATCTGGAAGGGATGTGCAGTTTTCATTCCCCTCAACCTAAGTTTTCATATCACTATCTTTATAGAGGGTTTCAGACAAAGGAAACATAGTTGCCAAGAATATTCTCCCAGAAACATGTGTTGTAGTGTCATTTCTATACAGTCTCAGTTTACCTGACTCACGTGAGAAGGCATGATTTTTTACAGCTGACAGGACTAACAATTCTTCAAGTTAATATCCCTCAGTGGGTCATTCTTACCCCACAATCATTCTTCCATGTTGACTTCTCCAACAGAAAACATCTGCTATAACAATAATCTCTTATTCGTTTCTCTAGTCTATATATGCTAATGTTAGCATTTTATATATGTGTTAAGGAGATGGTTTCCAGGAATATCTAGAATTTTACAGACATGAAGGTGCCCTAGAGTTATTAAATACAGCATAATGAATAAATTCCTGAAAAGGGTTACACATTGGTCAAGACCAGTGTTTTGGGCCTTAGACTTCAGACATATTCTTTGCTGAAGATAAAGATTCTAAAGAATAGTTAATACATATAAATTAATCAAATATACAGAAAGAAAGACTTAAAGGTATTACTATTTACTAACAGGTACTAACAGAAAGATCAGCTCTTAGAAAACAGAAGACTAAAGTCTGTATTGCTAGCCCTGTTGTGTGGGTGAATAAAGATCTCATTTTTTCGATGTACAGAATGCCTAATTACAAAACAAGAACACTCAACCATTTAGCATTACTCACAGTATGAGCAAAGGGCTGGTAGGAGGACATAGGAGGCGTACTAATATTTTGGATGCAAGTTTTATGTTGGCTTTGCTGGAAAAATTACATTTAAAGTTACTATTGAAAAATATATCTCAGTTGTAAATATCTAATATTTATATGTACAGTATTTTCATAGTTGCCTGGTAACAAGTGAAAAGTATTTTAGAGAGTAAATTGAATCTACGTGACAAAAATCAGAATCATTAGACATTATTTTCTGACAAGGCAGATGCAGCTTACTATTAGACTGCATGCCTCAGATGACTCAATTATTTAGTTAACTTTAGCATACAGGACATAGGGAGTTCCTAATATTACCAAGAATTTATGTTAAAATTTGATTTTCCTTATTTTGTTATATTTTATCATTTTGATTTACATGGATCTAATCAATCTCTACTCACTCAGTGCTGTCTGACACATCTGAGTTCCCTCAAAAAGTCTATAATCAACTAGAGGGGTATATTTTCCTTGTAGCTGTAGATCATTTAAACATTAGTTACTGTGAATCCCAACGCAATGCACTAAACCATAATGTATAAAATTTTCAAAAGTACCTAACTGACCTAGGAGCCAAACTTAGGCCCCTGTGCCAGCTAGGTGTTTTTGAAAATTTTACCCAATATGTTTATCATGAAATATGTTATATTTAGCTAACAAGTTTTATGTCAATAATAACAAAGTCTGCACTATCATTCAGTAGCTGGATATATAATTTACTAGTTAATTGGCATTTGGCACCCTGGCACTGTATTGCACTATGAATACCTTGTATACAGATTATCTTACAGCTAGGTGATATCTGGGTCCTTTCAAATTCTGACACAAACCAATGTATCACCTTTTGAACTCTTTAATCCCACCCCTCAAAAACACTTCATGTTACTTTATAAATAGCATTCTCATGTTTATTGTATTAGGTATTTGAGGAAAAACAACTTAAAACTCAGGAAAGAAGAATCACAGAAGCCAGAGGTGGGAAAGACCTATTAGATCATCTCATTAGTCCAGGGGTTCTCAAACTGGGGGTCAGGACCCCTCAGGGGGTCAAAAGGTTATTACATGGGGGGTCATGAGCTGTCAGCCTCCAGCCCAAACCCCGTTTTTCCTCCAGCGTTTATAATGGTGTTTAATATACAGAGGCTCCCCGGGTTACACAAGACCTGACTTAAGCAAATTCACACTTATGGAAAAAGTTCCATAAGTCAGAAATAGGATTTTCGAATTGCAGAAATTTTTGCATAACGTACAGGTATACATTTCCAACTTATGCAAAATTCGAGTTATGCAAGGCTTTCAGGAACGGAACGATTGCGTAAGGGGGGGGCTGTATAAAAATGTGTTTTTAATTTATAAGGGGGGGGATCGCACTCAGAGGCGTGCTACATGAAAGGGGTCATCAGCACAAAAGTTTGAGAACCACTGCACTAGTCCATCTGCTGCTAATGTTGGGTTGTTCCCCATGGTGCATTTCTAGTGTTTTGCTTAGCTAAGTTTTCAGATGTTTTCCATGCAAATGATAAAATAACTTCAACAAAATTACCTTGACCTAACAGGGATCATCTGAGATTTGCTGCTTAGTTAAAGGCATTGTACCTCCAGCATACCCTCCTCTGGTCATTAGCCAACATGCTGTTTAGACATGCTTTGTTTTTCTCTTTCCCACTCATGCCACCCCCAAATTATCCCCATAGCATTATAGAATTTTATAGCATTAGCTTGCTAAATATAAGTATCAGTTTGTTTAATAGCTAGCTTGCTTTCCTTGCAGAGCATATTTGGCCTTCTTCACTATCACCAATAAATCAAGTTACTAAAAGAAGAAATATTTGAGGCCATCTTCTGTGAATACAATCCTTTTTGTAGTATTATTTGCCTATCTTGTAGTACGAAGAGCAGAGATTCCATTCCCTTAATGCCATTGCAGCAAGCAAGTTGCAGAGTTAAAGAATGGATGATAATTGCTACCACCTCATGAATTTCCATTTTATTTCTACTGCAGACCAAGAAGAGAGGACGTCACAGAATGGAGTGTATGTACAGTCTGAATACGGTGCCAAGGAAGCAACTGAGACCCCACCTCCACACACAGGAGGAGGTAACCCTCTATGTGTGGATGTCTGGGGATGTGATCTGGTCCTGTTTCTATCCTGTTTTAGTCCATCATCTTCTGTATCATTCAATCTCTTTCAACTGTTGGTCTTCTGCTGTGCAAAGTCCACAGTAAACCCCTATCTCATCCACAGCATTTCTCAGACCTGGTCTCATTTTCTAACTCTCTCAGTCTAATCTGGTGCTGAAAGCAGTTTCAATACCTTCTTTGGCGTTTTCTCTCCACCCCTTATACCATGCTGCTCCCTTAAAACTTGGAACTGTCCTCATCCCTACACCTATATACACCAACCTCCCTTACCACATAAATGGTTCCCAAATAAATAAATAAATAAATAAATAAATAGAATCTTACTTTGGCTGTCTTGTCTATGAGAAACAAGATGAAAGAAAGTTCCTTTAACAAAAAACAAACAAACAAAAAAACCTACCAAACTATACACGTGCCTTGCTGCAAAACATTTTTACTGCATTTTCTCTTAAAGAAAACATTATCTAGCACATAATTAATCTATACTTTTTATTACAAGACAAAACAGTGGAATATTTTTATACTCAAATTAAAACTTAAAAACCCTTCAAGGGAAGCAATCACTAAATATAAACATTTCCAACAAAAATATAAAATCTCTTATAGTTAAGTAATTCATTCAAAAATATTTTAAGAATCAAATCTCAGAATAAAAACAATTCTTTCCTTTATTGACATTCTAGAGTGTTCTTGGACATAATGAAAATAAGCATTAACTATGGGGTTTTGATACTTTAGGAAAAACAAGTTTTACGTCCATTTTTCTTTATGGAAGTTAACTTTGTATGAATATAAACTAAGAAGCTCATCAGGAAAGACTTCTTTCATACTTATTACAACCAAGCAGATTTTGTCAGAGCCAGGTTTAAAAATAGGTAGCCCATGTGCATATGCAAAAATGTACAAGTATGAGTTCATTTAAAAATAGTAATACATATACAGACATATCTAACTGGGCATTTGTTCATGCAAATAACCATTTGTACCTACAACTATGACAGTTATACATGAAAACATAGGCAAGCAACATGCCAATAGACTTCCTTAAAAAAAATACAACTTTGTCCTAAATGTTACACTGTAACCAGCATAATTAATTTCCACTGAGAAGCAATCAAGTTTTTATTAAAAGGCCAAACTCTCTAAAGTTAATGGTGTAAATTTACAGTAACATATATTACCCACTTTTTGTGCTGAACAATTTGATCTTACACACCTGACTAATAAAACCCCAAATAGTCCCTGTAGAGCTAATTATTGGGAATGTCTGAAGAACATCTAAAGCTATATGAACACTCGTATTTAAAAAGTGAGAAGAATTTTTGTAAGTCTCTTCCTGTTGCATGCAACATTGCTGCAACTATTCCAGCATTATTCCATATGCTTCTCAAAAGAAGTCATAACAGTCTATACTCTTGAACTCTAATCAAGAAAGGATCTTATGATAGCAACATTTCCTGTAATACTGTATTTACCTTACTAAGGAGTACAGCTAGACAAACCACTTCAGTCAAACCAGCATCTCACAGGAGGATGGTTTAAAGGCAATCTGCAAATGATTGCTATAACTGATAGAGTTTGTGTCAATGTGTGCCAACTACTCACATATAGCTAAAAGGTATATTTAGTTTAAAACTTGGGATTAAAATGGTTTTAAACTAGTGTTCTGAACACCATTATTAGTCTGGTTTTTGGTGGTTTCCAAAACATTGTTATAATAAGGGGAAATGAGCATCATTAGCAAATAAGACACATTAAGAATAAATGAAAAAATAAATAAAATACACAACCTTATAAGTTATGCAGATATACAAATACTTGTGAAACATTGCAGTCCATTTTCCTCTTGTCAGGAACTCTTCAAAGTTAGTAAAGCAACTTTCTTATGCATCTAAACTAAAGTGCACTTCACAGCACTGGCTTACTTTATAAAAATAGAAAGAGCAACATTTCATTCTCTAAATTGCAAAAGATTTGTGTTTCCTTGTTACACACAGTCATGTTTGGCACATCCCTTTTGAGCCAGGAACATGAATTGATTAAGTCCTAAAATCACCTCCTGCTGAAGAGGCTCGGAATTCAGTAAGGGAGCCATGCTGTGCAGTGATGCTGTGCTGAGGAGAAGCTATAGAACTTGACCATATACATATTTGACAGCTGAAGTCACTTTCTGGCTCAAAATATGGCAGGAAAAGAGGTGTCAAATAAGTTAAATAGAAATTGTGCAATAAAATAGCATCTGTGCATAGATTAGCTGTCTTTTATAGGTTTCATGGTCAACACTGTGACCTAGAGGTTCTCACAACATAGGCAATAGGCCATCAAGACACAGTTTTGAAGAAGTTAACACATTTGTGAGGCAAATACTAAGTAGCTGTAGAAAATAAGGGCTAGACAAATCACTTAATGCAATGACTTGATGCTTCTTGATCACTCAGTACAGTAAAGGTAAATTATAGTATTCCCTTTGCCTAATACACAGTCAGCACTATAGTGCATTAGAAATAGTTTAAAACTCCATGAATAGCTTTTATATAGAAAAACATCCAGACTCAGAAGAACTGGACTTTAACATCAAGAAACAGGAACTAACAAAGGAAAAAAGAAAAATCTTGAAGAGACAAGATATCAGAAAACTGCTACAAAAGTATGCTTTTTATAAGTTTCAAAATATCTGTACTGGGCTCAATACTGACAAATGAAGTTCTCATTTAAACAAATTACGTTTTAGTATAGAACTGTTAATGGGAGAAGGCTGTGTTTTCTTCAGGACATCTGCTAATTGATAGCCTTCAAAGTTGAATGTTATATATGCATTAACCTTGACAATATATTAAGCATTTCAATCTTTTAAATGGTCATCATATTCTTCTAGTAATGCCTTTATTAAAATACTTATAAAGTGCCTGTCACTTAATAAATGTTTACTACACCATATCATGAAGGAAAATTGCACTTTATCAATATATATTGCACATATTGCAATTCTTCAGCCGAAAAATAAAGTATTTCAATTGACAAAACCACAATAAGTAGACTGAGGAAACTCATATACTGTCAGAAATATGGGCAATGAAAAATAGTCTTAATGCCAGGTTTCTATTCGTGGCGTTGAATGGAAAACTGTTGTATGTAATCAATAACTAACATCACAGTGACTTAGCTATTTCTCCAAGCACACTGTGTTGTTGCCAACATTTATCTCACTTCATAAATGTTTCCCCCCTCAGGAAAAAAGCAAAGCCAGTTCTGATTGATATAGGTGGATCTAGTTTGCATTTCAAAATTTTAATGGCAAATAGCTCCCTTTGCATTTCCTCGTCTGAACAAAGGATTGTCCTCCTCATATGCCAAGGTTGGGCTCTCCATGTTCTCCAATAAAGAATGATGAGCATCATATCCATGCAGAGGCAATGAGGGTTCTTTTATAGCTGTGGATGTCAATTGCTTCAGGGTGATATTAGTACTTTTAAAAGCATGCAAAAGAAAAATGCCTATGATTATGGTGAAGAATCCACTGAGGCTGCCAATGATATCACCCAGGTCCATGCTATTCCATTCTTTAAACAGGATGATGGAACATGTAACAACTGTAGTAGTGAAACACACATAATAAATAGGTGTCACGAGAGATGTATTAAACATGTCCAATGCTTTGTTAAGATAGTTGATCTGAGTGCTGACTGACAGCACTAAAGTCCCCACCAAAATATAAACCAGCGGATGTTGGTAAACTGGCTTCTGCTCCAGTATTTCTTTAATGGCAATGCCGAGGCCCTTGACAGATGATACAGAGAAGGCACCAATCACTGAACAAATTGATATGTAGACCAGTATATTCGTCTGACCTTTCCTTGGAGCCACAACAAAGATCAGCACCAGGGAGACCACAGTTATAACCACAGCAAATGCAATAAACACTGTTTGGGAAGGAGAAAAAGAAGTTACACACAATGAACGAGATACAGTTTCAAATCAGATTCAGTCAGGTATAAAAAGTTAGATAGCTTTTCTAACTGCAATATAAACATTGGCACAAATTCATGTGGCACAATTTCACTGCAATCAATAGAGTTGCACCCACTTACTCAAACAGTGAAATTAGCCCAGTATTTAGGTATAAGAATCTAACCTGCTTTATGCTTACATGAAGGCATTAAGTATTATATTTGTAAATGAAGTTATGCATTTACTTGCCCATTTAAAAGACAACTAATGAACTATATCAGGCTTACACACACACACACACACACACACACACACATCTATAAAAATGATACTGGTGCTCTTTCTCAGCCCCCCTGGGTGGTTCCATTGCATTAGCCTAACCAAGGGATGCTCACTTCACTGAAGCAAATTCATTACTTTTGGTTGGCCTTGATAGTCTCAGTTTTTCAACCTCTCATTCTGGGCAATCCTTCTTTCCACACTATAATCTGTCAAGTCCTCCTACTCCTTTTCACAGCGGTGCTTGAATATAACAGGGTTCTGATAGCTACTTCTTGTGCTTATTATATAGTATTTATTATTCCAAAATACCTCCACTCAGTCTAGATGCTAGTCCTAGTACCACACATTTTGGAGAGTTAGAATCATAGAATATCAGGGTTGGAAGGGACTTCAAGAGGTCATCTAGTCCAACCCCCTGCTCAAAGCAGGACCAATCCCCAACTAAATCATCCCAGCCAGGGCTTTGTCAAGCCTGACTTTAAAAACCTCTAAGGATGCTGATGTACCCCCCTCCCAGGTAACCCATTCCAGTGCTTCACCACCGTCCTAGTGAAAAAGTTTTTCCTAATATCCAACCTAAACCTCCCCCACTGCAACTTGAGACCATTACTCCTTGTTCTGTCATCTGGTACCACTGAGAACAGTCTAGATCCATCCTCTTTGGAACCCCATTGCAGGTAGTTGAAAGCAGTTATCAAATCCCCCCTCATTCTTCTCTTCTGCAGACTAAATAATCCCAGTTCCCTCAGCCTCTCCTCATAAATCATGTGCTCCAGCCCCCTAATCATTTTTGTTGCCCTCCGTTGGACTCTTCCCAATTTTTCCACATCCTTCTTGTAGTGTGGGGCTCAGAACTGGACACAGTACTTCAGATGAGTCCTCACCAATGCCGAATAGAGGGGAATGATCACGTCCCTTGGTAGCGGCAGCCAGGAGCCCTGGGCCCTTTTAAATCTATCGGGCGGGCCGCAGGGCTCATAGGCACACACAACCGCTCCAGGCCCCGCGCTTTGGGGGGGTCTCGTGGCCAGTGCGGTCAGTCCCAGAAGTATCGGTGTCCTGGACGTGACAAATTGTGCTCAAGTCAAGAGAACTGTATAATCTCTAACACGGGATACTAAAACAACAGGCACATGAAATTACAAGTCTGGTAGCAAAGATTTTTAATAGTCCTATAAAATCAAGGGTAATACCATATGATTGGAGAACAACAAATGTAGTACCTATATTTAAGAAAAGGAAAAAAGTGATCCAGGCAACTACAGACCTGAGTAGTATGCCAAGCTTCAGAACAAATTTTGAAGAAAAGAAAAATAAGATATGGAGGTAAAGGGAAAAAAAAAATCAAATAAAATGCAACATTAGTTTACCAAAGGTAGATTGTGCCAGACTTACCTGATTTCTTTCTTTGATAAAATAATTGATTTTTTAGACAAGGGAAATGGATTAGATCTAATCTATCAAGACTTCAGCAAAGCATTTGACATGGCACCACACAATAAATTATTAGTTAAGGTAGAGAAGATGGGGATTAGTTCAAGAATTGTAAGGTGTGTAAGAAACTGACTAAAGGGAACATCACAACAGATTGTGCTAAAAAGAGAACTACTGGGCTGGAGGGAAGTTACTAATGCAGTTCCTCAAGGATCAGTCTTGGGACTGATCTTAATATTTTCATTAAATTACCTTGGCACAAAAAGTAGGAGTGTGCTAATGAAATTTGCTGTTGACACAAAGTTGGGAGACATCAAGATAGAGGAGGATTGGAATACTATTCAGGAAGAACTGGATGATCGTGGGACTGAAGTAATAGAAATGGGATGAAATGTAATAGCACAAAGTGCAAGGTCATGCACTTAGGGACTAATAAAGTGTTACTCACCTTGTGCAGTAACTTAGTTCTTCAAGATGGGTCCCCCTGTGGGTGCTCCACTTCAGTAGCACAAGTACCACACAGGCCTTTGATTAGACATTTTCCATTAGCAGTATCAGTTTGGCCTCTGCATGCACTGCTGATAGCCTTGCATCTGACACCATGGCTAATATAGGCTGCGCAGGCACACTGCCCTTTACTACCACTGAATCTCAGGGCAAGGAGGATGAAAGTGGAGCACCCAGAGGGACACACATCTCGAAGAACTACAATTATTGCACAAGGAGCAATTGCTCTCTTTTCATTGAGTAGCATTCCAATGGTTCTCTCATTTCAGGTCATCCCCAAGCAGAACCCCACAAGGAGGAGAGAGCTTCAGAATTGAGTCCAGAATGGAGGAAAGAAATGCACTGTCACATCAGATCTAGAGGCATCGAACCAAGGCATAATGCTTGGAAAAGATATGTTCCGAGGACCATGTCGCAACTGTGCAGATTACTGAAAAGTGTCCCCGTATCTGAAGAGTCATAGACTTGGTAGAGTGAGATGACACACCAGAAGGAGGTGGAATGCTGGCAACACTGTAAACAAGCAATAATCAAATACCCAGAAACTCATTTCATTAGTCTTTGAATAGAAGAGACTTGAAGGAACCTGAGATGTTGTCATAAAGAAACTTTGTCCCTGTAGAATATTGTGAAAGAAGGGTCTGACCTTAAGGCCCCCCAATTTCTCTGACTCTGCAGGCTGATGTAATAGACACTAAGAAGGCTGTTGTCACAGACAAATTCAGTAAGGAGCAAGTTGCCATCAGCTCAAAAGGAGATTTCATGAGATTTTTAAGAACCAAATTAAGGTTTCAGACTGGGCCAGGAAGTTTCACTTGAGGGAACAGATTTCCCAGACCTTTCATGAACCTTAAAGTTGTAATGTGAACAAACCACTACAGAATTGTGGTATGAAAATCTGTTAAGGTGGCCAAATAAACATTAAGAGAACTGACAGTCCTGTTTTCTTTAGTTGCAGGTAATCCAGGACAAGTGGAAGAGAGGCAGATTCAGGAACAGCTTTCTGGAATTTGCATCAGTGAAGAAATCTCCATTTTTTAAAGTAAGTATTACTGGTAGAATCTTTCCCACTTTTTAGAAATATCTGCTGTAATTCTGAAGAACAGACTGACTAACTCCACAAACAATCAAGAAGCCATGTCTTGAGGTAAAGCATGCTCAGATTGGGATGCAGCAGTTGACTGGCATCTTGGGAGAGGACCTGAGGAGTGACTGGAAGATTTATCACTGGACAATGGCTAGGTTGAACAGGTAAGGAAATCATGCCTCCCTCAACCATGTTGGAGCTAGTAGGATAACTTTGGCCTTTTCCTCTCTGAGTTTGTCCACTTTTCAGAGAATCAGAGGCATCAGGGGAAATACATAAAACAGATTCTTCATACGAATGAGGAGGAAGGGATCCCACAAGGAACGGAAACCTGACCCCTCCCCCACCTCAGACAGACGTGATGGCATTTTGTGTGTGTAGCTGTGGCAAAGAGGTCCACTTCTGGAAATCCCCAAGTTTGAAATATGCCAGCAAGAATCTGGGAGTCCAATTTACATTTGTAATCTGGGAAAAAATACTGAGAGTGTCAGCTCTGACATTTTACCTACCCAGAAGACACATTGCCAAAATTCGTATGCAATATTTTATACACCAGTTCCATAACCTTATTGCATTGGTGCAGAGGAAGGGGATCTTGCTCCTCCCTGATGATATATATAAAACTGGCAGGCTACATTGTCTGTCATGACTCTGACAGACCAGTGTCTGATGAGAGGCAGAAAATGAAGGCAGGCACTTCTGACTGCTCTGAGCTCCAACAGGTTGATGTGGAGTGTGGTTTCTTGGGGTAACCATCTGCCCTTTACTATTAGGGTGTCAAGATGTGCTCCCCATCCTAACAGAGATGGATCTGTAGTTACGGTTACCATTGGTATCAGTTGGAGGAAAAGAACTCCCATCCCTACACTGCGATGAATCTTCCACTAGTCTAGAGAGTGTTTTGCCTGTTGAGACACTGACACCTCTTTGTTGAGGCTGTGACCGTTTGGCAAGTAAACTGATCTGAGCCATCCCTGGAAACAGTGAAGGTGTCATCTAGCATGTTCTATTACAAATGTGCAAGCTGCCATATGACCTACAAGTTGAAGACAGTTTCTGACTGAACTCTGGGGGTTCCCTTGAATAGTTCTGACAAGGTTGATAGTGTTATGAATCTGTCCATGGGAAGAAAGGCTTTGGATGCCAAGAAATCCAGGGATGCTCCTATAAATTGTATGTTCTGTATGGGAATCAGTGTGGATTTTCCCACATTCAACTGAAGACTCAAGTCTAAGAACAGAGAAAGTGCTTTCTGTCGGGTAGTCAACACCTCCTGCTACGACCAACCCTTAGCCAGCCTGTCATTGAGGTACAGGAATACTACAATTACCTGATGACTAGGGCCCTACCCACAATGCATTTTGAACAATTTCACAGTCATAGGATTAAAAAAAAAATCATGATTTCAGAGATTTAAATCTGAAATTTCAGTGTTGTAACTGTAGGGGTCCTGACCCAAAAGCAGATAGTGGGGGTGTCCCAAGGTTATTGATGGGGGTTCATGGTATTGCCATCCATACTTCTGCACTGCTGCTGGCGGTGGCGCTGCCTTTAGCGCTGGGTGGCCGGAAAGTGGCAGTTGCTGGCTGGGACCCCAGCTCGGAAGGCAGCACCACCACCAACAGCCACACAGAAGTAAGGATTGCATGATATGGTATTGCTATCCTTATGTCTGTGCTGCTGCCTGCAGAGCTGGGCCCTTGGCCAGCAGCCACCACTCTCTGGCCACCCAGCTCTGAAGGCAGTGCAGAAGTAAGGGTAGCAATACCATGACCCCCCTACAATAACCCTGCAACCCGCCATAGCCCCCTTTGGGTTGGGACCCCCAGTTTGAGAAATGCAGGTCTCCCCTGTGAAATGTGTATATTATAGGGTAAAAGTACACAAGAGATAAGATTTCACAGTGGAGACCAAATTTCATAGTCCGTGACATACTTTTCACAGCTATGAATTTGGTAGGGCCCTACTGATGACATAGGTAGGCAGCTACTCCTGACAAAGCCTTTGAAAACGCTCTTGGAGCTGAGGAGAGACCAAATAGGAGTATCTGGTACCAAAAATGATCCTGGGATATGATAAATTGCAGGAAGCTTCTGTGGGATGTGTGTATTGCTATGTGGAAATATGTGTCTTGAAGGTCAAGGGCCGAAAACTAATCCCCTGAATTTAGAGAAGGAATTATAGCTGTTAGAGTCACCATCCTGAACTTTTGAGACTTCAGAGATTTGTTCAGGAGTCTTAAATCTAAGATTAGTCTCCACTCTCCCCCTTTTTTTTTTTGGCAAAAGGAAGTACGTCAAGTAGAGGCCCCTTCCCTTGTGCTGAGTGGGGACCAGCCTTATTGCTCCTAGATGAAAAAATAAGTTTATTTCCTATCTTAGTAAGAACTCATGAGAGGGGTCCCTGAAGAGGGATGGAGAGAGAGAGATTAGAAGGAGGGAGGGAGGGAAGGAAAATGGATGGTGTAGCACACATCTATCTGAGGTGGTATGTTCCTATCTATGTCAAAAATGGAAAAGTTAGTCTCCAAATGTGGAGAAGTGGGCAAATGTTGCAGCTGACAGGCTAAAGAGAGTGGAGGGTCTGAATCCTCAACTATCCCATCAAAACTGGTGCTTCGAAGATGAAGCCTGCTGCGAACGTGTGTCGGGTGGGCTGGAGAATCTTTTTCTCTGGAACCTATGTCTTTCTTGAAGGTTCAATCAGTCTCTGAAAAGCAGAGAATTACATTGGCTCAAAGATCCCATCCATTTGCGATCTACTGAATTTTCTTTTGTTCCTAGGAATGTAAACGGCTAACGAACGTAATGTGGACCTGGAGTCTTTAAAGGTATGCAATGATTAATCAATATTCTCTGTGAACAACATCAGTCCATCAAACGGGAGATCCTCTACCATATTCTAGACTTCTCTGGAGAAACTAGGCAACTGGATGCCCTGTGCATTACCAACTGCTATAGCGATAGAACAGGCTGCAGTGTCTGTGGTGCCCAAACCACCTAAGAGATGTTCTGGCCAGTAACTGCCCCTCAGCAATGTAAGCCTGATATTGCTTCCTTTGGTCTGAAGTTGGTCCAGCACCCAACTACGCCACTGATATCAATGGAAACTGCTGGGCAGTTAGTTCTTTTGAAAATCAAGCCAGGTGCCTGGCTTTTGGCATCTATTTTTTAAAATCTGGGCCTAAATATTTGTTTCTATTACTCAAGTGAGCAGATGAGTGAATTTTACCTAATTCATTTTCAGAGTAGATTTGCACTCTGCATAGGTCAATCATGGCCAAAAATGTGTCTATGTAAAAAAAAAAAAAAAAAGGATGAAGTATAGGATGAGGGGGATAATGGGCTACCAGGAGCATCCAGCCTCTACAGAGGAATAAGACCCACCCTTGCTGTGACATCTGCGCGGCAGTCCCCTAGGGACTTCTCAGTGGAACAACATTAGGGAATGCAAAGGAGATAGCTTAGTTGTTAAATAGAGAAGCTGCTCAGCAGTTATGGGGCATGCTGAAGCAGCACTAGAACAACCCACTGGTAACGGTAGGAGTGGGGACACATGAACAAACAGCACCACTCTCAAATCCTGCATTACTGATTGACAGGACAGATGCCAATACCACACTCCCTTTCCTAGATTCTCTCTCACGGTCTCTCACCAGAGAGGGGTAGACGAGAAAAGCAAAGACAAGTATTCCTCCCCATCCCCACCTCCCAAAAATGACTCCGCTGCCTGGGACTGGGCGCAAGAAAGCTAGTGAAGGGGATAGGGAGAGTGAAGAGCCTTTGGAGACTGACCACTAGACCCTTCAAGTCTTTCCAACGCTCCCATTTTTTTTTTAAGAAAGCATATAGAAATATTAGCTATTCTGTTTAAACAGATAATGCGAGGATAGTAATTATAGTAGTAACTCCCCTGCTGACAGCATAGCACTAACAGAACAGAACTCTGGCTGCTGTCATAACTGGCTCACATAACGAATAAGAAATTAAGTACAGAATACAAACCACAGGCAGTCCTTGACACAATTGGTTCCTGAAAATTACATCATAAGTCGAATCATCATAACTTGGAACCGCAACCCACTCCACTGCAGGACTGAGCATCCTAAAGTCGAAACCAATTGTCAAAAGTCAAATCAGGGTGTCAGTTCAGAAATGTTGTAAGTGCCGTTCGTAAGTCGAACGTCGTAAAGTCAAGGACTGCCTGTATTATCATGATCTTCATGTGATAACAGACACAGCATTCAGAGTAGCCATGCTTTCTTGTAAATACTGATTTTTCTTTGTTTATTTTTTAAATACTAGTGTAAAGATGCTTCAAGTAAGTCTTGCTTGCTTACATTCACAGCCTGATTTTTGCCTTCAAGATATGCTACAGTAAAGTAAAGCACCAAAAGTGATATTAAATTCCACTTCATCTTCAGGTGAAAGTGAATGGGATGATGGTGGTGGTAACATATAACCCAGTAAAACCCTCCAATTATTCACTTATGGACAGGTCTAGTACTAGCTGACATATCTATGAAAGTAAGAGACATTGAGAGGCATTTTTTCATTAATGACAGATGTTTTAAGTTACAAACCTGGATCTTTCAGTTTTATTTCCATTTCATCTAAAGAAGTGACCTCCTCTTCTTCAGGGGCATGAATAACCATCACCGTTGACCCCAAAATGCTCAATATGCAGCCCAATTTCCCATGAACATTCAGCTTTTCATTTAAAAAATAGGAAGACAATATTGCACTGTGGATTAAAAAAAAGTAACAGGTTCAGCTGCACAAATTATTTTATAATATAGTAATAATGCTTTTATGTATAGTGATACTAATTAAAAAAAAGTTTTGAATTGGGGATAAAGAAACCAGCTAAGAGTAAATAAAAACCAGCCAAATCATCAACTTTTTTCCAAAGCTTTTTTTTAATTCTAAAAAGGTCAGATAAATCTTGTCCCATTTTCTATGGCTTTCGAACAGGCCTTGACTCTTCCCTCCACATCCTTCCCCATAAACTACAGTGTCAGGCAGAGCTCTAGTTTTTCCAGTCATTTTTCCTTTTGGTTACCTATGAATTACCAGAGACAAGCCCTACTGAAACACAAGCCCCAGAACAAAAGACTTAAAGAATCAATGGCCCCCACGTTTAGAAAGCTGGAGCTAGTGTGGCAAGGAAAACATAGGATTGTAGAGTAGGAGACAGGATGTAGTCCTGTTGGACCGCAACCATTTGGAGTTAGAACTAGGTCATTTTCACATGTAATCCAAGCAAGACTAGTGCCCCAGTCATCTGCCAACTTTTTAAAATTTAGCTTTGTTTCAGCACAATATCATTATACTACTTTAGCATCTAATACATCACACATACAAAATACCAGTGCTTACATACAGATAAGCATTTCAACTCTCTCATATGACGTTAGAGATTTATATGCAGTCAGATAACATGGTGATGAAGTGCAGTATTCAAATGTAGATACATCTAGAAATCATTTTACCTACTTCTGAAACGGTGCATGCACAATGACATTTACAATAAATTTGGACAGAAAGTGATATGATCCAGTTGAAATGGCAAGGGGACATTTTAGGTAAATGGAATGTAATTAACTGAATTGGAATCTGGCCAGGTCAGAGAGTCAAGCATCTCTACTCTTACATAAAGTGCCACGGGATCATTTAACGTTCATGTGATTACCAGTGACCAGGATCTCTTCTTCCACCACCACAGTGCCTTCCCAACACAATGCTGAGGAACTAGTACAATACTGATTTGGCAGGAAAACCATCTCCTACTTAATCACTTCTTGTATCACTTAAATATTCCCTGGAGTCTGCCATCCAAGTACTGACAGCCTGATGCTTCTAAGCTTGTCAGATCCAACAGGATCATGGGCCAAAATGGTATGGTTGCAGACTACCATATATTAATTAGTTATACAATTTTGAATCATCATAACTAGATGAAGTGATACAATATTAGACAACTGCAAAATGTGTATTACATGAACACAACAGCTTGTTTCATGTACACACTAATGCAAACAAGCAAATCGAGAAGCGTATGGCTATATAGAAACTGGAAGCTAAGAAAACGGATATAATAATTGCTAGATTTTAAGGCCACAGGGAACAATTTGATCATCTAGTCCGATCCCTGATATATCACAGGCCATTAAATTTCACCCATTTATTCTTACCCTGATTCAAGTAATTTGGCTTTGAATAAAGCATACCTTCCAGAAAGGCATCCAGTCTGGATATGAAGACATCAAGACATGCAGAATCCACTACTACCCTTGGTAGCTACCTTCTTCCAATGATTAATCATCCTCACTGATGATAACACTGGTCTACAATTTTTGAGAAGTCGTCTGCTTCAGAGATAAAATGTGCTATTTAATTTATGTATTTTGATGTGCTGAATTCAAATATGACAATTAAAACAACTGATTGGCTACTGTTTCTAAGATATTAAGTTTTTACAATTTTATGTCTATGTATATTGTGTAGATAGTAGAGTTTTAATCATAAATTGTAAACCTAGGTCTTTTCATGCGTTT